AAATTCATTAAATGCTATCCTTCTGCTATGAAACAGTTCCTGACAGTGACAGTAAATGGCAAAATAATCTTCCTAGGTGTAACATGCCTCATCATATGGAGCTCAAATAGAAACAGAGAATAGGAACTGTTGTCATCCACTGTGGTGTTAAATTATTACCATATTCATGCACCATGGTATTTGCATGAAAGTATAATACTAATACTATATGAACCTTTTGCTTTAATTACTAAAATGCTTAGAAATGTAGACATTTCTTTATCATACAAAAATTTGTTTAATTGCAGTGTCTATCTCTAGCCATCAGAGTTGCACCTCAGAGTATGTGTTAATGTGATATTTAAAATGCAAATGTAAAATGAAATACATTTGGGGCTGAAATAAAGATACTCACTTGCAGGCCTGTGAGTGAAAAGAATTAGTGCCACATCATTTGAAGCACAAAACAGCATGTCACTGAATTCTCCATCATTCATTACTTTGAGTAATTGCAAACAGCTTTCAGATAACACAGACTAAACCAAAGTCACTTACCAGAGCAAATGTTATTGCACTCACCGTTCATGGCCAGAATTATTTTACTGTTTGCTCTGTATTACAGAAAGAAAAAAAAAAGCAACAGAAGACAAGCACAACTTGAAAGCATTATGCCTAAGCATACTGCAAAAATCATCTGCTTTATTCACTGCACTGTAAGAAATTCACACCAGGTGTTTGGTGCGAGGAAAGTGCGGTAGAGACTTTAATCACACTAAATGACTGAAAGCATCTAACAGCGATGGTGCGTTTTTTGAAGCTTAAGTCAATCAATAAGTAAAGAATGAGAAATGTATCGCTCTCACACAGTGCACAGAACTTCTTAAGAATATCTTACTTTTAGAGCTGATAGTTGAAGACTGAAATAGAAATGATCGCTTGTGAGTAATTAGATGTAATTAGCTTCATTGCGAGAGTGGCAGTCGATCCAGATGATTCGTATCCACCTGTCAAGAACTTCAGCTTGAGAAAGCACTCAATTAGATCTGTCTTCTGCCCTTCAGAGGGACAATGATCTAATAATTACAGAGGCACAGCTCCGTGTTTTTTATCTTAATCACCTATCAGAAATATCTAATGATAAGATATATTTAAAGCAATATGTACATTCACATTCAATTGCAAGGCAGATGTTTTATTTTCAAAGCAGTACACAACAAAGTAAGGACACAGGTGGAGGTACAGTGATGCTAGAAGATGGTAATGCCGTGGTATTTGCATAATACAAGAAGTTACTTCTAAGAGCATGTTGCCAGTTCAAAACATGTAATATTTTATGTTGAAAACATAAAAATGGTACCAAACATAATATTTAATATCTATAATAATAATAATAATAATAATAATAATAATTATTATTATTATAATTATAATAATTACAATAATTATTATAAAATAGTTATATTATTTAAATATTACTACAAACAATATATTTTAATATTTTAATATTTATAACAATATTTAAATATTTTAAATATTACATCCATATATTTTTACTTA